TTCAGTTTTCGGACTATACAACCTCTAATGATGTATTGTGGTTGATGGTATACAGTATTCGTTTAATTCTTTCGATTCTAACATCTTTTTTTTTTACAAAATGTGAAACGCTTATTTTTTTCAAAAAAAAAACAAAGAACGAAAGTTGTCAGTTAGTCAAATAAACACAAAAGAACAGTTATTTTTAAATGTTCTATTTCAGATGCAAACAGCGGATAATGTTTTATAGATAAAAATTTAACAGAAAATTAAATCATCAACTTTTCTAGAAAATCGAGAAGAAAAACTAATTTTTAGAATACTAAATCGTAAATAAATATATACCAGCTAAGGTAGCTGAATTTTGGCTAAATATTAGTTACCATAGCTAAATATTACATAGCTAATATTACCATAGCTAATATATTAGCTAAGATAACTAAATATTGGCTAAGATTACTAAATATTAATTATAGTAACAATATTATTATTTTTATAGCAGGTGTATGACTTTAACTTGAATAAAATTAATATTTTGTATTATTTATTCATAAATGCAGTGACGTCATATAATAATATTGATTTTATATAAATTTCATTTGTATGAATAGTATGTCGCGTTTGACCCACCGCCAAATCATCATTAGTTGCTGAATTGCATTCACAGTCTGACTGCAATCTGTACGTGACTAACGTTACTTATAAGCTGCTTGAGTATTAAATATTGGTTTGGAATTCATCTGCAAAAAAAAAAAAAGATTCTAAATACTATTTTACGCACAAAAAAAAATTCCCCCAAAAAAGTGTGATAAAAAAATAAATAATTAAATTCATTATCGCGAGTAAATTAAAATTATATATAACTATAGGAATATGCAACTGACTTTAGCGAATTTTTTCCACAATCTTCTAACAATATAAATGAAGAATAAAAATATAGAATGCTTTTAATATTCTAAAAGCTTTTTCCAATTCATATTCTTTACGTTTTTGTTTTTTTTGCAATACCAAAAAAAAAAGGAAAATGATGTTTAATTTAAAAAGTACAGATAAAAGTAATAAAAATTATTTTTTTTTGGCAAAAGTTTTTGGAAATATTATTTGATATTTATTTTATTTTGTAATATACGTCAATTAAGAAAAAAAATGAAAAATGTAATTAAAATTTTCATTGAAAAAAAAAAATGTTACTCACACTGTGAGTTATATATAATTAATTCAAAATAATTGGACTTATCATTTAAAGCGACGACACTCCTTTGATTTATTATCCACATGTGAAATTTGTGCAACGTTAAATTAAACTCTGAGGACCGACACGATGGAACTTCATTTGAACATAAGCACTATATATTAACGACATCGTGTGTGACGTGAACAATATAAGTTTCTAATTTCTAATTAAAATTTTACTCAATTGTCAAATAAATATTAAAATAGAGAAATAAATAATTATATTAATAATTTCTTTTTTTAAATTACATAAATAAAAAGGAAAATTATTAAATTAATTGAATTAAAACGCCGAATTTTCATTTATCCAAAATTACAAATGGCCGAACAATCGATTTTGGCGCTATTTTCAAAATTGACCAATCACGATTTTCTTGATATAATTTCTAATTGGTCAATTTTAAAAATTGCGCCCAAAATTAATTTGTCGATTGTTCGGACATTTGTAATTTCGGATAAATGAAAATTTCGCGTCCTAATTCTATTAATTAAAAAATTCGTATATAAATAAAAATTCAGGCAAATTAAAATTCGGTCAATTGAAATTTTCTGTAGCTAAAAATTTGTATAAAAAGAAAATCCAACAAATTTTAATTCGAAAATTCTGAAAACAAATTATTTCTAATAGAATATACTTTAAAATAAATAATTCTAATTAGAATTTACAAAAAAAAATAGTTTTTCAAAACTTATTAGAGAAAACAAACAACTATTTTTTACGTCCTGCACATGAATTTCAATTTGTAGAAAAAAAAGAGCGCGTTGAAAAATTGTTTTTATATCCTCGGAAATATTAAAAAAAAAAAAAAAAAAAAAAATTCATAAAGCAAGATTATAAAAAAGGTGAAATGATTTATTCTCAGCTCCATTGAGCTATAAAGCGTAGATTAAAGCAATTTTATGTGTACTCTACCTTTCAAGTTTTCGGAAGATTACTATATCGCTATCACTATATTATATGTATACTGCACTTCTCTCTCGAAATTACTTTGATATTTTGCACAAATCTACTGACACACACACACACACATATATATATAGAAATAGGAGAAACTGGTGCCAAAATTGCAGAACCTTCGCATGTGAATCAGTGAACCTAGAACTGTACCAGACGGATGATCCTGCCTATGCTATATGTATAGTGTAATGCAAAACTTCAATTTGGTTTGAAACCGGCACTAAAGTGGATAACGTGGCTGAAGGTTGTCTACGTGAACATTTTCATCCACTTCCACGCGTGAATAGGTGCCAATGTATATATATATATGTTGCCGCGCGCTTACATTTTACAAGGTGAAAAAACATGTATGTAATCCGAACGAGTGAATTTAATCCTTTACGAGAAACAACTTTCTTAAAAAACGAAAAAAAAACATTTTTTTTTTTTAATCGATATTTTTATTTTACCCCTCTTGTACGTATTGGAAATACGAAAAAAAAATTACACGTGCCTAATTAATAAATAAGGCCTGAGAAATTAAAATTTTTCTATGCTTTAAAACCTATTTTTAAAAATTATTTTACGATTTTTTTCTGACATTTTGCAATTAATACTTTTAGTTACGTTATAACATACATTTTTCCTATATATAGCCACCTTAGAAAAAAAATACTACACTCATTGTCAGAGAAATGGTATATTTGTCTCCGAGCCTACTAACTCATTTATTTGTTGCAAATATATTTCATTTCATTGAAATAAAAAATTTATTTGAGCCAAAGAAAAATTTATTTCTGACAAATAAAATTTTTATTTACGCCAAATAAATAACACAGAAAAAACGCTGGGTAAATTTTGTTGCGGGTAATTTTAACCAATATGCTAATTCACATAGACGGTGGCGTCCTCAACTAGGATAAAATTTGTTGCAGATAATTTTTATACCGATTTTGGGGTGAAAATTCTACTTTTTTTTTCGTGTGTAAGTTAGTAGGCTCTGAGACAAATATACGTTTATTTAATTCAAATATATTTTATTTGGTTCAAATAAATCATTTCTCTGGGTGTAAACATAATTCGATTTGAAAGTTTTTAGGATCACTGAATCAGAATTTGATGTCAAATTTAAAAAATTCAAAATGGCTGACACAATATGGCAATGAATACAAATTTGAGGTTAGATTTAACAAATTCCAAATTTAGAATCACCCCAAAAATCCCTGAGTAACGAATTTTTAACGAATCGAATCAATTTTTAAATTTCCCGCTATATTGGGTCCGCCATTTTGAATTTGTTAAATCTGACCTCAAATTTGGATTCAGCGACTCGGAACACACCTAAGGAATAATTTTTAAGTAAATATGGTCAATTTTTAGGGTTTCATGGCTCAGGCCCGAAAGCTCTTTGCAATAAAAAAAGCTTCTTAGTTTCAAAAAAAATTTGTGCATTAAATCAAAGAAACATTTATTTGAATTAAATAAAAAAATTTCTTTGAAACAAAAATAATTCTTTTTTTTTTTGAATAAAAAATAATTTGTTTGAAACAAATAAATTTTCTTTATATCAAAGAAAAATTTGTCAATGAAATTGATTTCTTTGAGTCAACGAAATAGTTTTTCTGTATATAGAGAGTATAGAATTATAAATAATTTAGCTTATAGAAGTTCTGTTATATTGATTTTAGAATTATATAATTTAGCTTCAATATACAATTTATTATACTGAGAGAAAATCAAGTAATAAAAAATTTTTTTTTTTCTTACCAATAAATAAGTGTATTTTTTTCTATTTAACAGATTTTTTTATTCCAATTTTCCAATGTTTGAGGGTGTGTTCACCTCTCTCTCTCTCTTACACTATACGTAATCTCAAAATCCAATAATTCTTAAAGTGCTTTTCAAAATTGAGGAAAACAGTCACATTGTTTAGAATCGACTTTCCAGGAGAGAGAGAGAGAGAGAGAGAGAGAGACTCGAGTGCATTGTCGAGAAGAAATAATGGATTTTAAATTCAGTATAAATTGGAATAAATAGAGATAAAATAAAGAATTCCTTAATCCCCCTTTTTTTTACTGCCCCTCCAATTTACAGGAGGAACATTAAAAATGAAAAACTAACCATTATTGAAAAATAATTTTCAAATTTTTTCAAAACAAATTTTCAATTTTTAAACATTTTTTGGTGGAAGGGGAATTTTTATTATAAAAATTACAATTACATTTGTTTATTATATATTTACTATATAACAAAAATATAAAACCAAAAAAAAATATTATACAAAAAAAATAAAAATTTATTTACTAGGTATATATTTATTTATTTAATAATTTATTATATATTTTTATATTATATTAATACTTTGCTATGAAAGAAAAATTAACTTTTTTTTAATAACAAAAAAATTAATTGCGAAATAAACATCAAAAAAAAGTTGGCTTTTAATTCACGGGATAAAATTATTATTATTATTTTGTTTTCTCATTGAGTTTTGCTTCATTAGGAATATTTTAAAGATACTTCTGTATTTTTGCATCGACTCAAAGAGTGTTCTTTACTTAAGAGAACTTCATCTTGAAGAAGAAACTTTACACTTTGATCTCTTATAATTAAAATTGGCTGCACCTTGCAATTTATCGGTATATGTGTGTTGAATATCAAAGTTAAGAATATTAAAAAAAAAAACTTATTCATTTTTTTATAATTTTAACTTTTATTCACTCTATTAATGAATAAAAATTTGAAAACTATTTTACCATTTATATTTTTAAAAAAACATATATATATATGAGAGAAATTAATTTAATCCATTGAATTCGAAAAGTTTAAATAATTGAAATTTATGTTTCAGGTGTCGAGTAAAACAATGGAAGCAAGATCTTCCGCCCACTTCGGTCATTATCACGTTTCACAATGAAGCTCGTTCGACTCTTCTGAGAACTGTTGTTAGGTAAATTATATAATTATATAATTTAATATATATACTAATTAAAAAAAAAATAACAACTTTTTAGGGTAACAATGACAAAAAAAAATTTTTTCATTTCCTTTTTTTTTCTATTTATTTTACGAGATACATTTTTTTTTTTTTTTTATGTCAAAGTAGAAAAATGTTTTTGTAAAGTATTTTTATGTCTCAAAAGAGAATGAAAAATGTTGTAATAAAATAAATCCAGTAAGAAAGAATTGAGCTATAAAATGAAAAATCCAATAAAAGTCTTATGAAAATAGGATCATGAAAATTTCAATTTTTTTTTTTTCTTTTTCATCGAAAAAAATAAAAAGCAATTTCTTTTACTTATAGCTTTTTGTCTCAATTACACAAAAGAAAATGTGAAAAAAAAAAAACTTTGACAATATAAGAAATATTTGAATGTAAAATCAAATTAAGAAAAGAAAATTGAATTTTAAATATAATATAATGGAGAAAAAAAAATGCGGAACATTTAATTTATTCTCAGGCATTAAGTTATTGATTTGGCTTGGATATATGAATGCACATTTGCATAGCAAGAGAGGTTTTTCCTTTGCAAAAGAGAAACGTGCATTTCAAAATGGAATATCAGAATCGAATATATATATCGAAGAAATAATCGAAGATCAATTTTTACCCCCTTTTTCATATATGTGTGTAGGTCACGACAAATTTATTTCGAGAAATAAATTGCTCATGTCATTTATTCTGTTTCAATTTTTCTGACCGATGAAGAACTTTAGCTTTTGACACTTTCGAATTTTTGTCTTGATTTTAAAAAATATTATTTATACAATATTTTATAATAATAAAATTAATTTTTTCTATTTATTTATTTTTTCTATTTATTTTATTTATAAATTTATTTTACTAATTATATATTGAAATTAATTTCTCTATAATAAATATAATATTTTGAGAATAGAATTTCAATTATAATTTCATTAAATTAAACAATTAATAATTGAAGAAATAAATTATCCGTTTTCATTGAGAGAATATCTCCCAAAATTTAGTTACAATAATTTCTATACGATCGAAATTTATGTTATGGACCACCTGCTATTATTCTTGTCTGCTTTAGTTTTCATTTAACCAATTTTCAATTTCATGCTTCAATTGTAATTACTGGGTTGAATTTTTAAATTTTGAAAAAAACCTTATTTCAATGATTTGTTAATGAAAATTGATTTGAAAAATTAAATTATTGAAAATTGATTTGAAAAATTAAATTATTGAAAATTTATTTCAAAAATTAATTTTGTCAATTATTTTGTAAATATTGTCAATATGAAATATTTAGTTTGCTTTAATAAATATTTGATGAGTTTAATTGGAATTTTCAGTATTTATAATTCTAATTAAACGAATTAAAAGCATATTTTCAAATAATAGTTCAAAAAATATATTTAATTAAGAAATTCATAAATATGGAAAATATATATGCATATAAAATATGTAGAAGATTTTTATTAATTTTTATATTAATAAATAAGAAAATAAATTCTTTTCCAAATGATTTAATGTGAAATTTTTTTTATCAACGATTTTATATTTAAGTTCTCAAGCCTGTCTGTGTAAGATGAAATTTATTATGGCATCATTTCTTTAAAGTGCGAAACTAATTATGAAATTTTTTCCTTTAATATCAAACACTTGAAGAAGATTTACATAATTTTTGGAATGTGTAAATTATCGAGTTTCCTCGCAAGGAGGAATGTTTCGAAATTCCATACTTTTTTAATTTAGAAAGTAATAAAATACTTGAAATATTTTTCAATGCAATCAAACAGTTATAAACGACTGCAATCTTTTAAATTACAAGATTATTATAATCATTGGATAAGAAAATTATTTTTGATTCAAATAATCCACTATTATCAAAATAAATATTTTTATTTTTCATTTATTTTTTATTTTATTTTTTATTTTAAATAATTTTTATTTGAATAAAATAAATTTTTTCTTCTGTATAAAGTACTTTACAAATACACTGAAATAATAATAATTATAATAATAAATAATAAATTAATGGATTCCAGTTACACTACAATTAAAAAATATTAAAATTAATAAAATTTGCAATTAAATAAAAAATTTTCGTGAATTTATTAAATTTAAAAAAATTTAATTGAAATGAAATACATATTTTTTTTTATAGCGTTCTAAATAGAAGTCCTGAGCACCTCATAAAAGAGATCATCTTAGTGGATGACTTCAGCGATCACCGTAAGTGCTTCTCTCAATAAAATTCCTCTATATATTAGCTTTATATATATATATGATGAAAACGCAAATAAAAGTTTTTCTTAGCGTGTCTTTAAAAAAAGAAAAACTTTTTCTATTAACTTATTCAACGCAATGATTTACATATTATTTTACTTGGTTTTTTTTTTATTGTATTTTCATTTCCCTTTTTATAAATGAAAGACAAAATTCTTTAAATTTTTCCTATTATTTATAAATTATTTCACTATTTAAATAATATTTAAAATATATAAAAAATTATTTTTAATTATAATAATTAAAATAATATTTTACAAGGCCTTTTACAATACAATAATAAATAAATAATAAGTAATAATAAAATTAATTTAATATAATAATAATTATTATTATTATATTATTTTTATAATTATTATTATTACTATTAATTACTAAATTATTTATTATTATTATTACTATTATATTTATATAATTAATAATAATAATACTAATTTATGAAAAGAAAATTTTTTATATTGGAAAAAAAATTTTTGCACAGCTGAGGATGGAGAAGAATTGTCAAAAATTCACAAAGTCCGAGTGATCAGAAATGAAAAAAGAGAAGGTCTTATGAGGTCGAGGGTGCGAGGTGCAGATGCAGCAACGGCCAATGTCCTCACTTTTCTGGATTCTCATTGCGAGTGCAATGCCGATTGGCTCGAACCTCTGTTAGAAAGAGTTGCTGAAGATCCAACCAGGGTCGTTTGTCCCGTTATTGACGTTATCAGCATGGATACTTTTCAGTATATTGGTGAGAAAAACAATCGTTTTTTTTTATTTTTTTTTTAGTCAATATTTTTTCACCGAAAAATAACAACGCAGAGATAATTTACTTTTTATTCTTTTTTTTTTTTTTATTTACTGTGTAAAATAAAAAAAAAAAATTTCTTTTAAATTTTCTATATAAAATCAAAATTAGATTTTAGTTATTTTTTTACGAAGAACGCAGGATAAAAAGTAAATATTTATTGTAAAAGTTATTTATTAATATTTTTTGGTAAAATTTTTATAAAATCAAAATTAGTTTTTTTTCAACCAATTTTTATTTGACAAAGCTTTATATATATATATATATATAAATTTCACTGATGCGACTTAAAGCGAATTGACATTTGAAGCCTGTAAAATTTCGTTGACATCACAGCAAGTATATACATATATATAGATAAGAACAAAATACGCGGTGAATCCTCCCCGAAGATAAGCTTAAGAGATTTTCCTTCATGATTTTCAGGTGCATCTGCAGATCTAAGAGGTGGCTTTGATTGGAGCCTAGTTTTCAAGTGGGAATATTTGAGTCAAGTCGAACGACAAGCGAGGCAAAAGGATCCCACTCAAGCGATAAGAACACCCATGATAGCTGGGGGACTCTTTGTCATCGATAAATCTTACTTTGAAAAGCTTGGAAAATACGACACGCAAATGGACGTTTGGGGTGGTGAAAATCTCGGTTAGATTAAATTTAGTACAAAAAAAAATTACTAAATGACAAAAAAATTTCTAATTTAAACGAAAATTTTTCTAATTAATAATAAAATTTTCTTTTAATCAACAATAAAAAAAATAATTATAATTATAATATAATAATTGTAATATAATAAAATAACAATTGTAAAAATAATATTTTTATTATAAGATTAAAAAAAAAAATACTACATAATTGAAAAAGTTTTTATCTAAAATTTTCAGGAAATTAATGCAAAAATTTTCTTCACAGAAATCTCGTTTCGCGTTTGGCAATGCGGAGGAAGCTTGGAAATTATACCCTGCTCTCGCGTGGGACACGTGTTCAGAAAACGTCATCCTTATTCCTTTCCTGGTGGTAGTGGAAATGTATTTGCAAGAAATACGCGAAGAGCTGCTGAAGTTTGGATGGATAATTACAAACAATTTTACTACAATGCCGTTCCCTTAGCAAGAAATATTCCTTATGGAAAGTATGTAATTTTCATATATTTTAAAATTCAAAATAAATTTTTCATTTTTATATTCACAATTTTTTTTTAAAACTAATTTTATCCTACACTTCTTAATAATATTATTAATAAAATAAAAATAACAAAATAAAATTTAAATTTATAATATATATTCACAATTTTTTTTTCCACCCAGAGAAATGATATATTTGTCTCAGAGCCTAATAAATATTTATTTGATTCAAATAAATTTTTATTTGATACGAATGAATTTTTATTCGATTTGAAATAAATTTCTATTTGATTTAAATAAATTTTTATTTGATTCAAATAAATATTTATTTAATTCGAATAAATTTTTATTTGATTTTGAATGAAAAATATTATTTACGCCAAATAAATAGACTAGTAGGCTGTGAGACAAATATACGTTTATTTAACACAAATATATTATATTTGGTTCAAATAAAACATTTCTCTGGATGTAAAAACTTATTTTATCTATACACTTTTTTTCAAATATTATTAATAACAATTAATTTTTAACAATATTATTATTTCTTTACAGTATTCAAGATAGAATGGAATTGAAAAGAAAGTTGCAATGTAAGCCATTTAGATGGTATTTGAAAAATGTTTATCCCGAATTAGTAATACCGACAAATGAAGGCGGGCCTGGAGGAGCTTTAAAACAGGGATCAGCATGTCTAGATAGTATGGGACATCTTTTGGATGGAAATGTGGGATTGTATCCTTGTCACGATACTGGCGGAAATCAGGTAATTAAATTATTTCTAATATTAATTAGAATAAATTATAAAGAAAGTTCTTTTAAATTTATAATTTTCTAAAAGTTGAAAAAAAATTTACTTTTCTAATTATAAATTTACAACGAGGGGTAAATTTATTGAATTAAAGTGTAAACTAATGTTGAATTATTCGGAAGTATCTACAAGTATTTAAAAATACTCCAAATTATATTCAACAATTTTAAATTATTTATTAAGTGTTTTCAATTTTTTCGAGAAAAATTGATTTTTCTTATTCTGTTGCGATTTAGGTTAAATTGGTATGTTTTTTTAAACGTAATACGTGTTGTTTTAAAGTAAAAAAATAAAAGAGACATGCTGATTAAGTTTATTTGACTTTGTAAGGAATTTTTTCATTTTCCAGGAAAACATTCTATTTTAAAAAATCGAAAAAAATTGATTATTCTTAGTCTATTGCAATTTAGGTTCAATTGGTAGGTTTTTTTGAAGGTATTTTAAAGGTACTAAAGGTAAAAAAATAATAGAGACATACTGATTAATTTAAATTGACTTTGTAAGGAATTTTTTCATTTTCCAGGAAAACATTCTATTTTAAAAAATCGAAAAAAATTGATTATTCTTAGTCTATTGCAATTTAGGTTCAATTGGTAGGTTTTTTTGAAGGTATTTTAAAGGTACAAAAGGTAAAAAAATAATAGAGACATGCTGATTAATTTTATTTGACTTTGTAAGGAATTTTTTCATTTTCCAGGAAAACATTCTATTATAAAAAATCGAAAAAAATTTATTATTCTTAGTCTATTGCAATTTAGGTTCAATTGGTAGGTTTTTTTGAAGGTATCTTAAAGGTACAAAAGGTAAAAAAATAATAGAGACCTGCTGATTAATTTTATTTGAATTTGTAACGAATTTTTTCATTTTCCAGGAAAACATTCTATTTTAAAAAATCGAAAAAAATTGATTATTCTTAGTCTATTGCAATTTAGGTTCAATTGGTAGGTTTTTTTGAAGGTATCTTAAAGGTACAAAAGGTAAAAAAATAATAGAGACCTGCTGATTAATTTTATTTGAATTTGTAACGAATTTTTTCATTTTCCAGGAAAACATTCTATTTTAAAAAATCGAAAAAAATTGATTATTCTTAGTCTATTGCAATTTAGGTTCAATTGGTAGGTTTTTTTGAAGGTATTACGTGTTGGTTTAAGGTAAAAAAATAATAGAGACATGCTGATTAATTTTATTTGACTTTGTAAGGAATTTTTTCATTTTCCAGGAAAACATTCTGTTTTAAAAAATCGAAAAAAATTGATTATTCTTAGTCTATTGCAATTTAGGTTCAATTGGTAGGTTCTTTTGAAGGTATTTTAAAGGTACAAAAGGTAAAAAAATAATAGAGACATGCTGATTAATTTTATTTGACTTTGTAAGGAATTTTTTCATTTTCCAGGAAAACATTCTATTTTCAAAAATCGAAAAAAAATTGATTTTTCTTATTCTGTTGCTGTAATTCAAATTTTGATTGTATAAAAAATAAATATTTGTACATAAAATAAATGTTTACATAAAATTTGTTAATTTTTTCAAGGAATGGTCACTGACAAAAGATGGACTCATTAAACATCACGATTTATGTTTAACTCTAACGACATACGCTAAAGGAACAACGCTTCTGATGCAAATTTGTGACGGCAGTGAAAATCAAAAATGGCGTTATCTCGAGGGTGGTCTTATAAGTCATTCGAGAATTCCAGTTTGTATAGATACAAAATATCACGCGCAACGTGGAATCACAGCGGAAAAATGTGATTCCAATTTAGAAAGTCAAAGGTGGCATCTCTATAATCATGGCCATTAAAATTATCCCAAAAAATGGACCACAAGACTAAAAATTTCTTGACACACAAAAAATATATTGAGTAGCAATATTATTTCTATACATAAATAAAATAAAAAAAAACAAAAATATATATAAATATATATAAAAAGCGCATTGAACCGAGAAAGCGTTTACAATTCGCGTCGATTGAAAATTTATTATATAAAAAGTGATAATAAACCGGAATGTGACTATATAGAAAATTGTGTCAATACTATATGGAATGAAGAAGAGTCTCGAGAGGAAAACCGGTGACAATTTCTTTCAGAGAAATTTTTTTTTTTTTTTTTCTTTTTTTTCTGAAAAGACATAAAATAAAGTGATGACGTCCGAGCGTTGATCTCTGTATTATATTGACTGTAAAGAGAATGAAAGGAGCTTGTGAAAATTGTAAAATATCAGTTCGTAAAATCGAATTGAATTTTTTTTTTTCGTTTAATTCAATTTTATCAAAAGAAAATATTTTTCTTTATCGAAAAAATTAAAATTAAATAATTCACGAACTGAAATTCAAATATTGTCAAACAAAAAAAAAAAAAATAATTTCCAATTCTGTTCAACTTCTCTAAAATGTTTTATTAATTATTTTTCACCGATCGTCAAGTACCTATTGCAGTCAACATGAAATTTGAGCTCTCGAGTTTTAAATATTGAGACTGGAATTGAATTACTGACATATTGGATATTGGAATTAAATAATTGACAATTACGAATATCGATTGTATATTATATATATGCAAAAAAATGCAATCTTAAAAAGCCATTAAATCTGCTTTTTCTGCTCCTATTGTAAATAAAATAGTAATAATTAATGTGTTCGCAAACTTGGAACAAAGCAGTTCCACAAAACAATACGAAGACTAAAAAAAAAAACAAACTGCGAATGCCAAAGACAAAGAAGCATCTGCTTCAAAAGCATTTTTTTAAAAAAAAAGTACTTCCATTCGTTATGAAGGTTTTAAGCACAATTAATTTTTTTTTAAACTTTATGCCAGTACTTATTTTAGCGAAATTTTTTTAGTTATAGATTTCTATGACTTTTCGATTAGTTGAAAATTTTTAATACTCATTATTGATAGAGAAATTTTTTTTCAAGAAAGAAGAAAATTATTAATTTTTCTAACGTGAGATTGTAAAGCAGAATTATAAAGAAATTGATAATTATATCGATTATTGTAATTTAGAAAATTATTTACAAGACTGTTTTTAAATTAATAATTAAATGTCGTCTTTTTATTATATTGTACAATATAATCGTTTAATTTATTAAATTATGATACGAAAATTAATTACTTGGGTAATTAAAAATAAATTAGTCGATTATATCGTACAAATATACTAATTATAATTGTAATTTTATAAATAATTATCGATTTTTCAATTTTTATTTCTGTTTTAATTTTGAAATGAGGTACAGAAATATTTTTAGTCTCCAAACTAATTGTATCGAAACAGAGAATTATTTTTGTATTTTCTACAAATATAAATTTGTACATTTACTTGGTTGTGTGAATGGATAGAATGATGATTCGACAGCTTAATTGGAGAATATTTCTCACATAAAAATATATTTAAACATCAAGTCAAAAAGACTTTTGTAATGATGATTTAAACAGTAATATTTCAAAAAAAAAAAAAGTGATAAATATTTGAAATCACGCTGTGCGTATTTTACAAATACATATATTAGTAATTTTTACTAAAAACGCCTGGCTGTGTCATTTACATGATAATTTATCATAAATGATATTGAAATTTTAATTTTATTTTTTTTACTAAATTCTAAATTATGACTTCAATTATATAATTACAATTATTGTTATTGTTTTATATTTAAATCGTTTATTTTTTATATAATTTTTTTTTCTATTTTTCTGAAAAGAAATTAGTGTAGAGAAAAAATTGTTTGATTTTATTTTTATTTAAATATAAGTAGAATTGTTTTTTTTCGGTAAAAATTAGTTTTGTTGCGCAATCAAGAGTATAATATCAAAATTATTTTTAAAATCAAAAAAATTTTGTTAATGGAATTTTTAAAAGTTAAAAATATTTAAAATAAAATAAATGTCCGATACAGCCATGCATTGAAATTTCTATAGGCATATTTTACAAAAAAAAAAATGTTGTGAAATATTAGTTTTTGTACACATTAGAATTTTTATACCTGCGACATTTCTTGTTAAGACACTAATAATAATAATATTACAATTTTTTAGTTTCCAATACCTAATTTTCGTTATATTAAACATTCAAAATTTTTTTTTTATTCTCTTAATTTAAATCTTAAAAATTTTTAATGTTTTAATATTTTAAGTTTCCGTTACTTAATGTCTTAAAAAAAAAAACATTTGTAATTCCTTCTTTTATGTTTTTCTCCTTTTTTTTAATTTTAAATTCCTATAACAAAACCTTATACAATTTTGTTAAAGAGAAAAACAAAAATTTGAATTACAAAGTGTTTTAACGCAAGTGATTTGTTAATTAGTGAAATTTAATTGTGAATGGCGAATGATATCGTAATCGCATATAATAATTGTAAATACACATATATAGATTTATTATTCTCTAATTATAATAAAAAAAAAGCATTGTACTTCCAAAATTAAAAAAAAAAATGTAAAAAAATAGTAGGAATATCGTGAAAGCATGTGTACTAGAAAAACTCCATTAATGTTAATATCAATGTATATCAGAAAAAGTTTTATTCCAGAAATGTGGTTCATATGAAACATATATATAGATTTTTTTAATACTTGTACATTGTCTGCCAGTGATTAATTATTAATTATTAATTAATTATTGATTGTTAGTGATCATCATAAATTATTACAGTTTAAAAAAGTCATTTTTTACCTACTTTTTAATTGTTCTTACATTTTTAATGCGTCGATACGTTTCATTTTTTTTTTTTTTTTTTTTTTTTAACATTGGAATTGTAAAATAATAAAAGAGATTATTAAGAAATAATAAAAGAATTGCTTGTACTTCATAAGGCAATGAAAAATTGTATCATAATAGTTAAATAATGAAACATGTATATTATCCATATGTTTACAATAAGGAAACTCTATCATAATAATTATACCTAAATAGGCCTTTTTTAATAAAAACTATGGATATTTCCATAAAAACTGTTTCGTTTCATTATTTAATCATCCTTGTATTTAAAAAAAAAAAGTAATTTTCTTATATTCAAAATTTAAAAAAATTTATTTTGAAGTAAAAATAGATTTGAATTTTAAAAATCAATTTTCCCGGCTATTTGCGCTCTCTGGTGGTAAAATAATAAAACTTCGATGAACTCTAACGATAATTTACCGTACGAGCTCGTTGAGTTTAATTATTTTACCACCAGAGAGCACAAATAGCCGGGAAAATTCAAAATAATCAACAGAATTTAAAAATATTCGCTAAAATACATCTAATAGAAAAAATGAATTTATTCATTAATTCATACATCAACGATATAAAAGTGTAATTATTTTTTTTTTTATACATAAATACTTATAATGCAAACTTTTATCCCTATTATATCACGACTTTTTATGTTTTTTAAAACTTTTTTTAACTTTATCTCTAAATTGATTAACATTAAAGTCATTTTTCTTTTGCTCTGTTATTTTGGAAATTTCATCTGGTGGTACAAATGCTTCGGCACGTTTCTCCTCACGTTTTTTCGTTGCTTCCTCATGCTTTTTATCCAATTGTTTCTTGGCTCTAGCGCGTTTTTGTTCTTTTGTAAGGAAATATTCTCCAGATGCCAATTGTTTATCAACTGTTCTCTCCTCCTGAGCTGGTGGGAATGGTGTATATGGTTTTTTAATTTTCTTATTCTTTGGTTGCTTTCGTTTACTAATATTTTTTGTGGTGAATTTCGGTAAATATTTCTCCCAATTTTCATTCTTTAACGTTGGATTCTTTGATAATTCCCGTTTAATGAATAGAGCCTTTATATTATAAATTGGATGAACAACATTTTTCATATTGTCCTCAACGATACGTCTCACCTGAAAAAAAAAAAAAATTTATAAATTTTGATTTTTATTAAAATTATTTATAGTTTTCAAAAAGGGAAAGGATTATTACCTGTTGTAGGCCCTTGTATGGACCAACAGCAGAAACGGTGTTACCCTGAACAAGAACATAACAATCAGTGAGTAATTCAATAGACTTCAATGTACATCCATTTGGTCCAATGAGTCTTTGTCGTCTTTTAACAAATTTCTCTTTATTTCTAACTAAAGAGGAAATTTTAATAATATCCGAACCACGATCATCTTGTAAAACTTTAACAGCCTGTTCAAAGGGCACAGAACGTGCTATTAATTTTATCATGTCACGACCTTTTACAATAATATAGGGATCCCATGTTTTTCTCGTTGTTCGTACAGTCATGCTACCTTCAATAAGATCCAATTCAGCTTTAATACAATGTTCATTGAGTGCTTTTTGCACTAATGGCCAACATTGCTTTAAATAATGTTCACGATATTTTGGAAAAAGTGTTGCAAATGAACTTTCCTCCAGTAGACGATTTGGATTGTCCTCTGCTTTAAATGTTGGTACTTTTAATGACCATGCATTTTCCACTGGTCCATTAATTTTTCCAATATCTTCACTTTCGGAATCAGTCATTTTTTTGGCGAATTATTTCAATTTATTCTTTTTATTTTTGCATTAAATATGATTATTATTGTAGTGGCACAATTTTTTTTTTTTTAGGTTAGGTTCGTTAATTTGAGTATTTCTTCTAAAAAAAAAGCACTTTTTTGAACAATTTTTTTTCACTGTTTTGGAGATTTTTATTTAAACAATATTATATGATTTTTGTATAAAACGGCACTATTTTATATTTTAAAATACCAAAAAAAAAATTGTATTTTAAAAGTTATCATTCGCACGTGTTGTACTATTATTTTGAGAAGTTAGTTCACAATTCTGACGCGTGAAGACGCTGCTAGTATAGAAAACTGAGAAAATATTTGGAAACTAAATTTTTGACTTTTTTGTCGCATTTGATAGAGAATAAAATTATCTTTTTTATTAATTATGTGTTTTTAATGAAATTGAATGTAGTTAAAAAATTATATTCTTTTAAAATTTAATTAAAAGTCTAGTCTGCTCAATGAAAATTTTTAAATAGCTGCAATATTTTAATTGTACAAATCATTGCATTTTTAGAGTTTAACCCTTAAATATTTGAAGAGCTCCACGGAATAACGATCTATGGCACAATTGAAAAGTTTGGTTATGAGCTTTCAAAAAACGTAAATTTTCATGAAATTTGTAATAAGTATGTATATGTAAATTGTTATTTATTACACTTTTGGTAACTATTATTAATTCTATTAGTTACAATAATTCATGCCCGTGAAGTTAGCACCACAACTTAATCAAAATCAATTTTTTTTTATTCTAAACGTTTGTTGGTCGTTTGATAGTGTTTGATAGTTGATATTTAACGTTTGATAGTAATAATTAGAAAAAATAAACAAAAATCAAATTTTGGTGTGCTATTTTCACACTGCACCCCAAATTAAAAAAAATACTAATTTTTCATTTGTAAACGTTTGTTGGTTGTTTGATAGAGATTGATAGTCAATTCTGAACGTTTGATAGTTGAAATAATAATAAATATAAACATTATCAAAAACATCTATCCATGTCGCATCCCTCCATTTGCACATGCGCAAAACATACTTTCGCGGCATTTTCAAAAAACAGGAACAAATTTTCCTCTTCGATTTTAGAAACAAAATGTAATACTTCAAATTTTTATTCATATATCATACAATTAAATACTCTCCTTTCAAAATTGTCAAATTTTAATTCCAAACGTTTGTACGCAGTTTAATATTGATTAATGGTAGACTAATATCGTTTGATAGTGATTGATAGTTCATTATTTTCGTTTGATAGAGATTTAAAATTAACTAAAATCATTTGATAGTGATTGATAGTTGATTATTTTCGTTTGATAGTGATTTATAATTGACTAAAATTATTTGATAGTGAATAATAATTGGCTGAAATCGTTTGATAGTTAATTATTATTGGCTAATATCGTTTGATAGTGATTGATAGTTGATTATTATAGTTTGATAGTGATAGATAGTTAATTATTATCGTTTGATAGTGATTTATAATTAAATAAAATAGTTTGATAGTGAATAATAATTGGCTGAAATCGTTTGATAGTTAATTATTATTGGCTAATATCGTTTGATAGTGATTGATAGTTGATTATTATAGTTTGATAGTGATTTATAATTGACTAAAATCGTTTGATAGTGAATAATAATTGGCTGAAATCGTTTGATAGTGATTGATAGTTAATTATTATCGTTTGACAGTGATTTATAATTGACTAAAATCATTTGATAGTGAATAATAATTGGCTGAAATCGTTTGATAGTTAATTATTATTGGCTAATATCGTTTGATAGTGATTGATAGTTGATTATTATAGTTTGATAGTGATAGATAGTTAATTATTATCGTTTGATAGTGATTTATAATTAAATAAAATAGTTTGATAGTGAATAATAATTGGCTGAAAGCGTTTGATAGTTAATTATTATTGGCTAATATCGTTTGATAGTGATTTATAATTAAATAAAATAGTTTGATAGTGAATAATAATTGGCTAAAATCGTTTGATAGTTAATTATTATTGGCTAATATCGTTTGATAGTGATTGATAGTTAATTATTATCGTTTGATAGTGATTGATAGTTAATTATTATCTTTGATAGTGATTTATAATTTATAATCATTTGATAGTGAATAATAATTGGCTGAAATCGTTTGATAGTTAATTATTATTGGCTAATATCGTTTGATAGTGATTGATAGTTAATTATTATCGTTTGATAGTGATTAATAATTGACTAAAATCATTTGATAGTGAATAATAATTGGCTGAAATCGTTTGATAGTTAATTATTATTGGCTAATATCGTTTGATAGTGATTGATAGTTAATTATTATCGTTTGATAGTGATTGATAGTTAATTATTATCTTTGATAGTGATTTATAATTGACTAAAATCGTTTGATAGTGAATAATAATTGGCTGAAATCGTTTGATAGTTAATTATTATTGGCTAATATCGTTTGATAGTGATTGTTAGTTAATTATTATCGTTTGATAGTGATTAATAATTGACTAAACTCATTTGATAGTGAATAATAATTGGCTGAAATCGTTTGATAGTTAATTATTATTGGCTAATATCGTTTGATAGTGATTGATAGTTAATTATTATCGTTTGATAGTGATTGATAGTTAATTATTATCTTTGATAGTGATTTATAATTTATAATCATTTGATAGTGAATAATAATTGGCTGAAATCGTTTGATAGTTAATTATTATTGGCTAATATCGTTTGATAGTGATTGATAGTTAATTATTATCGTTTGATAGTGATTAATAATTGACTAAAATCATTTGATAGTGAATAATAATTGGCTGAAATCGTTTGATAGTTAATTATTATTGGCTAATATCGTTTGATAGTGATTGATAGTTAATTATTATCGTTTGATAGTGATTGATAGTTAATTATTATCTTTGATAGTGATTTATAATTTATAATCATTTGATAGTGAATAATAATTGGCTGAAATCGTTTGATTGTTAATTATTATGGGCTAATATCGTTTGATATGCTGATTTATAGTTAATTATTGTCGTTTGATAGTGATTTATAATTGACTAAAATCGTTTGATAGTGAATAATAATTGGCTGAAATCGTTTGATAGTTAATTATTATTGGCTAATATCGTTAGATAGTGATTTATAGTTGATTATTATAGTTTGATAGAGATTGATAGTTAATTATTATCGTTTGATAGTGATTTATAATTAAATAAAATAGTTTGATAGTGAATAATAATTGGCTGAAAGCGTTTGATAGTTAATTATTATTGGCTAATATCGTTTGATATTGATTTATAATTAAATAAAATAGTTTGATAGTGAATAATAATTGGCTAAAATCGTTTGATAGTTAATTATTATTGGCTAATATCGTTTGATAGTGATTGATAGTTAATTATTATAGTTTGATAGTGATTGATAGTTAATTATTATCGTTTGATAGTGATTTATAATGGACTAAAATCATTTGATAGTGAATAATAATTGGCTGAAATCGTTTGATAGTTAATTATTATTGGCTATTATCTTTTGATATTGATTTATAGTTGGCATAAATCGTTTGATAGTGTATGATAGTTTATCAATATCATTTGATGCTGATTGAAAGTTGATTAATATCGTTTGATAGTGATTTATAGTTATCTAAAATGGTTTAATAGTGATTGATAGTTGATTATTATCGTTTGATAGTGATTTACAATTGACTAAAATCGTTTGATAGTGATTGATAGTTGATTATTATCGATTGATAATGATTTATAATTGATTATTATAGTTTGATAGTGATTTACAATTTACTTAAATCGTTTGATAGTGATTAATAATTAATTATGTATTATCGTTTGAATGTGATATGCAATGGACTAGAATCGTTTGATAATGATTGGTAGTTGATTTTTAACGCTTGATAGTGATGTATAATTCACTAGAATAGTTTGATAGTCTTTGATAGTTAAAATTCAAGGTTTGATAGAAATAATTAGTAAAAATATTTCACACACAAAAATTGTGTGTCATTTTCACAAAGCACCCTATTTTCAATAAATTATTGATTTTCCTTTTACATTCGTTTGTTAGTCGTTTGATAGCAATTGATAGTATATTATAAACGTTTAGTAGTCCAAATTAAATTAGATATTAAAGTTATAAAAAAAATCTGTCCGATCACTGCAACCCGACTCTGCGCATGCGCACAAAATAAGTGGCGGACGATTCAAATATCTTCAAATAACATTTATTTATTAGGGTCACTTCAACAACAGCAATAAATACTATACATTATCAAAAAAATTTTAACAAAGAAAAATCGGTAAAAAATAATTATTTTCATTTAAAGTGAGGAGTAAAAACTCAGAGGCCAGACTTTGGTGCAAGTTGAAATATTTTATCAATCATTCGAATATTATATTGTATAGTGGAAGATTTTTTTAGCAAATACCGAATTTATATCGATTAATTTAAAAAATCTATAATTCATTACAATTTGGGTGCTAACTTCATGCCACACCCCAATTTAATTGTTAATTAATTTTTTTATTTATACCGTTTGTTAGTCGTGTGTTAGTTAAGGTTTAGCGTTTGATAGTGAAAATTAAGTAATTAACAATTATTTTCAGTTGAGCACAGGAATATGTTATCGAATGCCAGACTTTGGTGCAAGTTGAAATATTTTATGCATCATTCTGATATAATTTTATCTCAAGAAAGATTTTTATTAGCAAATACCAGTGCTAAAATCAACGTGACGCAATCGGAACGCATAGTTTTAGATCCAATTGGAGAAAGGCCTTTTTTATACATTTTCTACGTTAGAAAAGGACAGTGATACACCCTAATGCATATAATTATGTATACTGTTCTTCCGGTCTTCTGACATTTTGAATAGTCGTTTACATTTCTATAAAAATATTGTTAGTTCATGACGAATAAGTTAGTTCATACGTCACGAAATAACAATATTTGTATAAGAATGTTATGAATTTTCAAAACGTCGGCAAACTGGAAAGACAGCAAATATGCATTAGGGTGTATGTATGTGTCCTTTTCTATCACATGCACCTCATTCGCGAAGCTATTATGCGTTGGCCTTTAAATCGCGAATGGTGATTTTGGCGAGTGGGACAATGGAAACATACCGTCTCTGGGGTGCTACCTTTCATCTCAAATTGAAAGTAAGGGTACGGTCACACTATCTCATACATGCACTGTGTATGCATGAGATAGTGTGACCGTACCCTAAAGAATGTGTATTAAATCGAATTCACAATCT